AAGTTTTGTCGATCGTGTTGGAACTTTTTAGCACACTTTACATGCACAGACTTGCACTGATACATGACTTGGTTAAATGGACCTTCTAATGCGCTCCCCTGGTGCTGGTAGAACTCCATCTGTATCATTTAGAATTTTAAAAGTAAAATGTAAATGATGTTTTGCTATTGCCAGAAAGGATTTGATGTATTCAATGCACTAGACTTGATGGAAAATAAAACATTCCTGGAAAAACTCAAGTTTGGGATTGGAGATGGCAATTTGCAGTATTATTTGTACAACTGGAGGTGTCCTGGCATGGAATCTGAAAAGGTAAGAGAAAAAGAGCTTCCGAACTCCGTTAGATGTAATAATACGCTCATCTGCTCTGGCCAAAGGGGACAGAAGTTTGTACATGTATATAAATAATGTTTTGCTGTTGTAATGTATTGCTAATATTTTACTATGCATATATATGTTTTTTTTAATTGGATACATTTGAGATCCATAATTCGGATACATAAGCTACTAATATTGCCATAATTAAATTACTATGTTTTTGTTCTTCTTTAGGTTGGTCTTGTATTACAATGAGGACATTTGTGTTCCTAGAACTCTGAGGTCATCGTTTGAGTTAATTTGATCTCCATGGCATCTCTTGGAATGGTGTTGTTCAAGAGGAGTAAAAGCACAACGTCAGAGATCCTGAGATAGTCCATTAAAACCTGAACAATGAAGAAATCCATATGCGACCAAATTTATGCATTTTCAGATAGATCAGAAGGTCCATGAAACTCTTTTATTGTCCATGAAAAGAATAAAAGCACATTCATTTAAGTTTCAAAGCTTAGCTTGCACCTTGATGAGAAGAAGGTATTTTTTCCACTCTGTAGAAAAGACTGTTTTGTACAAACTGAACTTCAGTGGCGGAGTAGGGTACAAAAATATTTGCTATTATGTGGATGAACTGCTGCATTTCTATTTATTAAGTGGTGGTGTATGTTCGTCAGTGTAACAGAATGAAGGATACAAACTCGAGTATCTTTGCTTATTTACTTCACGTGGATATCATCATTTGGGGGAAAATCATGAAGTATGAGACGTTTTTAGCTCTATGAAAGTCCTGGATGTTTTTGTAACCGGAGCAGTATGACGATGTACTGGTTTAACTAGTGCATTTATTTCTCCATAAGCAATGCTGCCAAATCAATAAAAATACAGATTTGTACTTTGATCTTCAATAGATCAGTGGATTGATTTAACAGTATCGCACTGTTCAGTGCAGGTGTTATCTATGTTGCCGGAATGATTATACATTACTGTACTTAATTTACAGTTGTGGCACAAAAACTTAGTTTTTCCTCAGTAGATTAACATCAGCCTGTGTGTAAAACTAAGAATTTTAGTAGTGCTATCAGGATATTTATAGTTTGAATGTTTTCAATGCTTCTGCAAAATTGCACATATTCCTTTGTCTACTTTGATTTCTTATGAAGTCTGTAATTCCAATGAAAAGTATCTTGTGTAAATAAGTATTCATAAATTGTTCCTGGTAGTGTTTTCATCTTGACTTTGGAACAAGAAGTTGGCTATATATGTGGCTGACAAGCAATCCTCAGTCCTTGGAAGTCTGTGTTCTGCTCTTCCTGGAATGCAAGAGGGCTGATGTTTTGCTCTTGAGGGAGAGCTGTTTTAATTCCCTCGTGAATGCTCAGTAACCAGAATGGCTTCTGGAGCACTTTATACACGTTCCAGCGCAGTGTCCCAGTTAGGTATGGTAGCAGTTCTTTCGATTTTACGTATGCTGCAGTAATACAAGCACCAAGATCTGCAGTGAGAAACTGTTCGAGCTGAAAGTGCCAAATTGTGGTAGTGAAGCCTCTGTGCTGTGAGCATATTTTGAATGTGACTTGACTGTCTCATGAAATGCAAATGTCTAAGCTTTCCTTTTAAACATGCCTGTAATTTTGACAGCAAGTTTTGCTGCAAGTCGAATTCTGGAACTTAAAGCATCAATTTAGATGAAGATAAATTTGTCTGTTCTTACTAACTGCTGGCCCTATCCACCTCCTTATAGCACTTTTTTTTTAAAAAATTTCACTTTATTTCTCCTTTTCCGTTTTGAACATGTGTGATAATTTGGAGTTTGGTTTCTCACTTTTGTTGCTCCTTTTTTCTCCTTGGGTGAATTGTGAGACGATCTCTCCCTGTCTCTGCCCGGGAGTCAGATACTTCTACTTACTACATTATACCTCCGTGTCAAAAGCCCTCAACTTCCTTCAAGCAAAGGAAGGGACTGAACTTAGGCTGTCTGCCCCCACGTACGCACAGCTAGAGGCCTCCTGAGAAGGGCTCTAAAGGAGATCTTCACGTGCTGGACTCGGGCGTTACAGTTTGGGCTGCTCTGGTACCTGTTGATACCTGTGCGGCCGCCTCTGCCTCAGTGTGAGGCCTGGGCAGAACGAGGGGCCTTGAGACACGATCGCCGGGGCTGGGCAGAGGGAGAGCTTTCGCTGTCTGAACAAGAGGAGCTTAATCCCAACTCCACCAAAGACTTAGATTCTTGACTCCCAAAAGGCAACAAGTTGCTTTCCCTGCTAGGCATTCACACCAAGGCGTGCTGGGTTAAGGAAGGGGTTTACTATGGCACTTCAGTGCGTTTTGTCTGGCTTTGACAACTGTGCGTGGCCCTGACCTTGTGCCTGAGATCCTTCTCTGCTAAGAAATGGTCCGAATCCACGTGTCCCTAATCTGGGTGCTGGTCCTGAATGGCAAGCGAATGATGCACACGTTTCCTCTGCCTTCACGCTCCCTGCTCCCAGAGACAAGCGGAAGGAAAGGAAGACAATTTATTTCCTCCTGTTTTCTGAACTCTGAAGGCAAATCTCCCCGGTTCCTGGCAAGGCTGCTAGACCACGAGAGGGTCAGGCGTGCCCAAGGGAGAAGGTAGGACAGACTGGGGCTGCTGTGGAAGTGGCTGCATATGAGGGAAGGATTTAGCCGCTCTCGCTTGTGCTGTCTTCTGGGGAAAGAAAGTATCGTTTTCTTCCAAATCCAAGGGGTACAAATCTGTCTCATTTTCCAGTTTGTGCCGTTTTGTGTCGAGGGAGGGGAAGGGCGCTCGTGCTGCGGCTCAGGCTGTGCAGTGCAGCTGAGAGCACGGGCCTGCCAGGCCACAGGGAGGTGGCACGAGGGAGTCCGAGCACAGGCACAGGGAAGCTCCTGGAGAGCCCTGCTCATGGAACTGCCATTTCATAGCTGCTTCATCCGAAAGAGTCTCCTGTGCCCCTGCTGAGTGCTTTGAATAGCCCTTTGCTTTACCTCAAGTAATTCACTGGAGCATCACAGGCTTCCAGAGGACATGGATCTTGAGCCTGCCCCACCAGGAGATGGTCGCTGGGAAGTAGAAAGTGCAGGAGCTGCCGGAGCAGAGGCTGAGCTGCACGGTATTCCCGGTGTGGGTTCTCCGAGGGAGCCGTGCCAGAAACGGAACCTGTCTGTGCCCTGGACTTGCCACCAGGAACGAGGAGATGGGTTCCTGAGAAGACAGCAGGGCCAACTGCACAGTTCTCCCCCCAGCCCTTCCGGCCAGTCTGCTGAAATCTCTCCGGAAATTCCTTCCCCAGAGTAACTCCCCAAATACCTGAAGGGAGCTACAGTCCTGCGCAGGCAGCAAGGTGCGTAAAAGATAACTGCTGCAACATGTATGTGCTTCACTAAAGGGAATGGTCACACTTGGACACTCGGTTTTAAATGTGCTGTTAGAGTAAGCTAGCCTGGGAATTAAAAGCACTAGTTCTAGCATGCCCTTATAGTTTTATGCATCTATAAACCTAAAGCAAAAGCAACTCTTCTTTGCCACCTCCGGCAAAGGAGGGCCAAAAAATTTGTATTAAATATCTCTATTTTGTTTAATCTTCAGGAAGCCTCATGATTATTGCTATTGCCTCCCTTTTTAGTTGACAACATGAATTTAAGTCGCCTCTAAACAAACCCAAAATACAGGTTAGCTAGCTGATGGCACTGAAAAGGATAAAATCTCTGAAAACGCCACCTTAAAGAAACAACAAAGTAAACTCCCAAAAGATATTTTGATCTTTCCTCTGTTGTATCACAATAGTGACTTGTTAAAACACTGAGCTGCATCTAAATTCCCGTGTTGTTGACTTTGATGGCATGTGAGTGGCACCACCATTACCCTTCCTTCCTACAGAACAACTGTTTTCCTAGGGAACTGTTTGTAGTCCTCACTAATATTAAAGGAAACTCAAAAGTTGATGGCTGTAAAACCACTGCAAGCCACTGAAAATGTACCCAGTGTTAGCAACATAACCAACACTAGTACCTAGCTTATATGGACTTACTGGGAAATAATTTTAGACTCCCTTTAAAAATTAATCTACAATAGTCTAATGCACAGATCCTGTGGGGAAAAAATGTAATTTGCATAGAGTTCTTTTTCAGAATGCAGCAAAGCAGTAATTTGGTCTTGTTCTGTATATGGAAAGCAAAGTTTTGTTCTTTAGCATATCAGACACAAAACACGGTTGAAATCTAAGTCTATACGTGTCCTTGACCAAAACAAGCTCAGTGTCCAGCAGAGCAAAGTATGAAAGTCCAAAAGGGAAGTTTGCCTGCACTATCAGCTGTTTACATGAAACAGGCATTGAACCAGTTTCTAAAAAGTTTTACCAGCACAGACATTGTTTAAATAAACTTCCAATTTTGGTATCTACTAGTTTGAGCAATTACACTTCAATTAGAGTGGTTCCTGTTCAGTGTGTTTCATCTATATAAAAATGCAAAGTTTGGTTAATGCTTTAGACTAATTTCATGGATATATCTGATAGGACCTCAAGATGTTCATGCACTTGATTTTAATTCCTGATCTCAAAATGCAAGTTAAGTATTTAATAGCCCTACATACACACACACACAGACATTTCAGCCATACTCTTTAATACAAAAGCAGAAGGACCCTCAACTGAAAGCAGCAGAGCTGACTTCAGCTTATACTGAACAGTGCTTCACACTGTAAAGTCTTACAACATCATTCAGTGTTTGATAGTGACTGAAAAATGAAATCACCAGAGCTGGACTAAAATCAGTTACATTGAGAGAGCTTTTCTCTTCTTGCGAGGAGGTTTCTTTATCTTATTGGGATTTGGAAGAAGCTTCTTGATTTTCAAAGGCTGCAGAACTACGTTTGAAAAGCCAGGCTGATTGCTTTCCGCACGCTTCCGCTTCTGGCTTGCAGGCTCTTCCCCCGGTGGTTCCGCAAGCTGCTCCGGATCTTGAGTTTCTGAAGAATCCGAATGTGCATCTGCCACAGACTGTTCAGCTCCGTACTGAATAATCCACGGCACTTCCAAGGCAGGTATCTTTGGAATTATTGCTTCCACCACCTCAGTGAATTTATCAGACTGCCTTTTAAAGCCTAGCGCTAGAACGGAGCTTAGGCCAAGAAGCGGCGCGATGGTTTCACTGAGACGGGGAACCTGACCTGCTGGGGTTGCTCGACTTGCACTCAGAGGAATGAGATGCGATGTGATCATGTCAGGTTTTGCAGATTTACACACCAGCATGAGAATAAGTTCATTTTTTTCCAAAGCTTTTGTAACTTCATTAATTCCAATGGCCAGCTGCCTTCTGATATTTAGATCAGACCATCCTGGTTCTGGGCGACTGCCTTCTGTCTCCTTCTCTTTAGGGAGTTCACTGCTGGCAATATCACCCTCTCTTGCCATTTGCTTTTTTGTAGCGGAACGTCTTTTCTTCCTTGGAGCCTCAATCTTTTTAAGTCCAGTATGTTTAATCCTTTCTTCTAAAGTCTGTAGTATAAAATGCATATCATCGCCCTCTATGGCTTTCCACTGAATAACATAGGGGTCATCTAAACTTATTTTCACATTGATTTTCTTTGCCTTGCGCAGCGATGCAGTCCCACGCTGAATCACAGGCATCCTGATGTTCTTTTATGTTTTGCCACTTAGCTGTGAAGAGAAGAAGGCAGCAAACTGTAGTTCAAATACTCTAATGTTCGCTGTGGACATCATTACCCAAACTTTCTCCTCGGGGCCCAGCAGAGAAACCCCAAATCTCAAAGTGATGCTGGCAACTATCATTAGCTTCCTCTTTGCATGAGCTCAGTGCTTATCCTTGACAAGAAATCTTGCAGAACGCACAGAGTAGCAACCTACGAAGGCAACAAATTGCCATTTTATTTACTAATTTTAATTAACGGAATAGACTCAAGAGCAAGGCATCCCTGATGCAGAGATCCTTCTGAAGCTGAAGGAAAACAAAACAAACAAAAAACCCAAACAAACAAAAAAGAGGTTTTACGGGGAAAAATAAAGATGGAAAAAAGAAAAAAGAAATAAAAGGACAAAGGAACTGCTTAGTTTTCACGATTGCCTATTTGCATTTTAGAATTATTTTCCTATGCCCCCTATATGGAAAAAAATGCTGAATCAAAATACAAACTCGGAATTCCTGACTATAACTTTAAAAATTACTTGATTTGCCTTGTCACTCTTCACTCCGTGTCTTAATTACTTTTACGCTGCAGACTCTAATAAGCTCCCGTGTTTTCAATGAAGAAAGGCCATTCCGCGCCGGCCTCCGCACGGCTTCCCCGGCAAAGACCTTTCAGTGGCCCGGGCCGCGCTGCCCAGGGCCTCCCTCCTGCCCTCGCGCTGGGAAGGAGCGAAGCGAGGCCGCAACCGCCCGCACCTCCCGCTGGGGAGGAGGAGGAGGGCTCCGCGGGAGGGCGCCCGGCACCAGACCGGGCCTCCCGGCCGGGGTTTCTCCTACCAGGCAGCGCCTGCAGAGCCGCGAGGCCGCCGCAGCCCCGGGCACGAGCGGGAAGGCGCGCGCGAGCGCGTGGCAGCGGCCTCGGCCTCTCCCGGGGCACCTTCTCCTCCGGAAATGAAGTAGGGAGATAAAATAATAATAAACAAGCGGCCCTGTGAGGCCCCAGCCCCGCCGCAAGGATCAACCCGGCTCCCTTCCACACTCACCTCCACCGCCCGGTCCAAACCGGCCTTCCCGGCGCTTCCCGAAAGCCCCGGGGGCAGCTCCCGGGCCGCGCAACAGGCCCCGCCGACCGCCAGGGGGCCCT